CGAAAAAAGGACACCGTGTCTAATTAAATCATTGTGCAAAGGAATTTGTGTGTGACCAGATGGGAAGAAGCGATGTATTGGAATTTCCTTAAGAGCCTTTCACATACCAAATTGGTTTCGGTAATCGGTTGATAAAACGATTGTGCGTGCCTTTTGGATTTTTATTTGGCTTACAATTATTTCACGCATAATTCCGTCGGTGTTTAAGCTGCAAAAGGTACGGCAGTGCATTTAGACCACCTTGAAATTGAAGCGTATTCGACATGAATACAATTATTTCAATAGTCGAGCGATTGAAAAATGATTTATGGAAGTGAAAACGCGAATAATAATTGTATTCAATTTTCATAATAAAATAATACAACATAATTTTAAGAAGTGTGCGATTACCACCCAGCAACGGTGCGACGGCGAGCAATGAGCAATTTGCAATTGTTGTCTGAATTAAGGCAGCTAAACATGGTTTTCGAATCCAAAACCAAATGTCAAATTACAATAATCGAACTCATTGAATGACTGCACAGTGCACACCATTTGTTGAATCGATTCAACTCATTTGTTCGGAAGAACGACGTTTAAATTGCTTGGTCTACCTTTTTTCATTCTTTCCTCATCTCACTGTGTTCATTGCCATTCAGTTGTACTAAACTTGTACATGCAATTCATATTTCATAAAAGAGCCGGGCAACGGCAGCCACTCTACGAGCATTCATTCACCGCGAACAAAAAGCGAATAATCAAAAGCCACACAAAATGAATGAAGGAAAATATTGGTTGTACAACCATAAATTACAGGCCAACCGAAAGACTCAACGCTAACAATTCTACACCCATATAAAACGCATATATCGTGCATAGACATTCCAATTGAAATCAACAATGAACACCATTGAATGCCAAACCACGAACAGAACACAGAGCACACAAACGAATCTGAACAAGAACAACCACCGTCGACTTGAAATCAAAATGAACGTTATGGATTGCTTGTAATTTGTTTGTAAACAAAACGAAATTCAAAATGAGTGGAGAACATGATAAAAAAAACGCTGTACGAAAAAAGAGATACCTGCACAAAAACGAATCTGGAAATTCTAAAATGTGCATTCAACGTGTGTAATAGGATCAGAATAATATTTTTGTTACTATACTACTGCACGCTTTAATGGGCACCGGCGTGTTGATTACAACTTATATGATCGATTCCGTTTTATTTTACTCTCATATTCATACACAGGCGCTCCACTATCTCCGAAGTCAAAAAGTCAAAAGATGGGAACAAAAGGAATCATTTTATTGCCTTCTCTGTTTTTTCCAAAGCCAAAATGATGGGAACCACTCCAATATAAACGTTTAGGAAAAAAGGCAAAACGATGCAATTTATTAAAATTTATTATCATAAGGAACATGCAACGATATGGATTGCAGCTGGAGAAAAACACAAAACGCATTCTCCGTTTTGTATCACTGTGCGAGTGTTGTACAATGTACATATGGTTGTACTGATTTTGAGTTTTTACTTGATGGTGTGCTTGGCTGAAACTGTGAATGTGTGAGATAGTATGTGAATTTATTAAAATAAACATCATTATTTTCCCAGCTAATTGTTTCTTCTCCAACACACTATCTCTCAGATGATTTTTGTTCGCTTCGTTTTGTTCTGTTTTCTTTCGTTCTGCAGCAAGTCACTCGGTCATTTATTGAAATGGTAAAAGGTAGGGGATACAAGAGCCGGAGCAAGCAATCGTGCCAACGTGCGGCAACCAAAGAATTTTCCCAAGCATTATAATTGAATTTTGCATCCCGGCAATTGTGTGCACATTGTCTGTGGTCAGGTCTCTTTCTCTCATTCCAAATGAATTCGACCCAGAAAATGTAATCAAAGTATCACTATCTTATTCATTTCAAACGGGTTAAACACAAATTATGCCATACTATGTCTATGTTTCCTTTTCTAATGGCCGCTCACTTGCCATTCTTTTCTTTCATTTTGGTTAACCACCACCAACACAATTAAAATGAGTATTTCATTATTCACATTTTATAATAATTGAAATTTAATAGGATGTTTTTTTTTCTTTTCTCTGCAGTGGCAGCATTCCTTGGTTTAGATCAGGTTGAGTTTCATCATTGTTTTGAATTTCGACCGCTTTTATAGTATATAAGTGATGTCTCTCGAACAAAAATTTAATTAAAACTTTATGATGGTCTCCGATTTGGGAATACATAAAAAAAATTCTGCAAATTGATAAAATAGTTTTCTCAGTATTTTTTCTTCTTATTTCAGGACGTTTTGCATCCAAAAGATTATCATGCTTATACTTCAATATAATATAATGTACAACCGGAATTTTTTGAAATTAACTTGTTCCCATCATTTCCATTGTTGTAAAGTATTATCCGACAAACGCCCACCTCACGTTCATAATGATTTCGAAGAAGAAGAATTCCTGGTTAAACAATGATTAATAGATTTCACAATCAATGCATCATTGTTACACGCGCGCTCTTCACTTTAAAAATCACCGAAACTGTAAAATGAGCGATGTTTTATGCATTGCCGCCGCCATCGTCGCTGCCAGTATAGACAAGTGACCGTATTCGAGTACATTTAATACGATAAGTATCAGAAAAAAATCTCAACATGAAAAGTTAGCAATCATATTTTAAAAATAAACATGATAAGTGCATCTCTTGTCACTCATACATGAAATCACATTCTCACTTTTGTTTGTCAGTTAATTTAATTTCTACAAATATTAGGCACCACACAAATATTGTTGATATAATGGTCTTTAGCACACACAAATATTCGACAGCTCGTTTCGAATCACGATGTATAAATTTATTTGAGTGCTGCTGAATTCGAAGCTGTTTTTCTTCCAACGCGGCGCGAGTATGAATCGATTTTATGTAAATACACTTCAGCTCAAGTTGAACGTGTAACTGCACTGAAAAGAACTACTTCTCATTTTTAGGAATACATATTTGTTAATTGTGAAATAAATTGCGCTTTAATTCGTCGAGTGGATGCTCAAAAGCTGCTTATGCATGGTGTGCACATTTATATACGCCACTGATAACGATTCGAAACGAAAATCTCTAGTGAATTCCCAAAAATTCAATCAATCAATTGAAGATTGAGCACTTTTTCTGTTCAACGAATCACTTCACATAAAGCGGCCATTGGTCACCTTTGAAAATGATCCCAAACCCATTTTGACAAGGAATCGGGATTTATTTCATAAATTCGATGCGTGATTTTGATATATGCTGTTAAATTTGTTCGCCTTTTTCCCATTTGCGACTGTTTGTTTTATAAAAAGCAATGTTTTCAAAATAAAAAAAAGGTTATTTCAAACCTGTGTTCAATTTCAGCTAAAATTTATAGCACCGCTCAACGGGTGAGAAGGAGAAGAAAGCATAACTTAAAAAAAAACTAAAAGGAATTTGGCATCCAATTCATTGTATGATATATTTTTCTGTGAATTTTGAAAAAGCAATTATTTATCGAGAACTAAGAAAATCGACACGATACTAACGCCATAGTCATAGTGCAAATTGTAGTCGAACGAAACATAAAAATTATGAGATTGTTCGACATCTAGCGACGGTGTAAATGTTCAAACGTTCGCATACACACTTTGTGCAACGACAGCAATAAAGATTTTTAAATGTCGACCGGAGATTTATTGCACCGAATGCAAGAAAACGACAATACCATTTTCCTCGCTTCGATTCAGTATTTCTGTAGGAATTCGGTTTTTTCGATTTGTGAAAAAAGTAAAAATGGGACAAGTATGTGAATTTGTAAATTGTGATAATGATAAATTAGCCTTTCCTACGGATCAGGACACAAAAAGAGTAGCACATTTTGTGCACACCACTCAAATAAAATTAGAGACCTGAACAATCTGCAGCGCGGTTGCTGCTTGTGTGTGAATGAGATAGGGAGATAAAGAGATAGAGAGACAGAGAGATTGTGTGTATGTGTTAGCGATAGAGTTTATTGATGAAGGTTTTTTCCTGCTTCGTTATCCACTTTTTGCTTCCACTACAGGCATCGATGAGAAAAGACACAAAACAGAGTATGGCATTCATCGCAGCACAGACAGAAAAAAAAAAATTGCGTTCTAATTGGAAAATGGGCTGTTATGCAAAACGCAAATTACACGACCGCTTTTGCAAAGCAATGAATAAGTCATCAGCTCAGCGAATATTGAGTGGCTCTTCTTATGATTCATTTGCTCGCACAACATCAATTTTTATTTGACGCAACGCCTTCTCTCAGCCAACGCAAATGAAAAAGCGACCACAATAAAATTAGATTACATTAGTGAAAGAACGTTTTACTGTAATGGAAAATGAAATGCCACATTAACACGGTTCACGGGAGCAGCAGCAATAGAGGCAGAGGCAGCCATAGAAAAGGACAGCCAGATAATTTCCAACAGATTGATTTCGCATACACATGCTATTATACGTACAGGCCTCGATTCGTATGACTCACCACAAAAATATGTCCAAGTTTAACGGCGAGGACTCAGCCTCTCTGATCGTCTGTACAAACAGATAGGAAACGTCAAACAAGAAAAATTAAGCGGCACCTGGAGACTGGTTGGAGAAATAGAGAATCATGCATATAGTTTGAACGTTGAAAGTATGACACATTGCACTTAGTCCCCAGGCGGCGCTATATTGTTCACTATTTTCATGACCAGAAAGGTTGCAAGGACTTAGGTGATGGGCATATTATCAAATTATTTCCGATTGATGCAGCACCTAAATATCTCAACATATTGGTAATCGTGCTGCCTGGATTTGTAGTAATACAGTTAGTAGGATATGATTTCCTATCGGCGATTGAGCGGAAATCACCCGATTAAATTTTTTTTTAAATGCAAAGTATAAAATCATTCAAGAAAATATCTTTTCACCCTTCCATTGTAGATTCAATTTCCCCTGAGCTGAAATGTTTGTAAACCAAAAATTTAACTTACATAATTCAAAAACAACCCGATCGACTTGATTGGTGAAAGCAATTAATCCCAAAAAAAATATTATCCATTCGATTGCAATGAATATCGGAAGTTTTTCTTTTTTTTCACTTTTTGTGTTCGATGAATTTCTCCTTTATTTTAATCCACATTCAATTGCAGAACTACGTCGATTCACAAAAAACAACAACCGTCGATTGAAAATTGAAAATAATGTTATCAATATCACGCGCGTTTGCCGTTCTTTCGCATTCGCAGATTTTTAATCGATCGATTTTTTTTTCTCGTCGCTTTTGAACCAAAACTGTTTTCGGTTCTCAGAATTTTTGAACGAACACATTCGAATATTCCGAAATTTCGCTTTTTTTCCACACGAACTATAAATCGCTTTGGAATTTTTCCAATTTGTTGGAACGAATGAATTTTTTTGTGCTCTGTTGGTCCAATCTCTCCTTTTAACACGTTATTTGTTTTTGTTATTGCCTTATTTCACTATAAATTCCTATTTGTTTATGCACGTTATTCTCCACGTCAACATTTATTATTGTTATCTCAAAGTTGTTTCTGGTGCACTTTTTTTTCTCTCGTTCATGTTCAACAAAAACACATATCGAGGCACTAAATTTTAATCCTTGGATTTTGTTTTTTTTCTTCAAAGGTCGCCGAATCGTTTTTTTCCCTCACATTTACCCCTATTTATGGAAATTTCCCTATTTATGGAAATTGCTTTTTATTTCCATAAAATAACTTCAATTAAATCCTTTTCTCAATTTTAATGGTTTCAAATTGCACTGTACAATTTTGATGGTTTGATGCGCAATACGAATATTCTCACCATTCAACGGAATTTTAAAAATGTTCACAAAATTTCCAGTTTCGAATCCACTTTATATTATTTTCGTGTATTTTTGTCCAACTATTTTTTCCTCACTAATTAAAATCTACACGAAAATTCAGTTAAGAGTAACACACAAAAAGTTTCGCTTCCAATCCACGTGAGACATTAAATTTTAATAACAATTTAATTTCTTTTTGATGCTCTTTACCTCTATCTGACTACAACGGACAAACTCGATACGAATGCTACAGCATCCCGAAGGAGAATGAACCGACGAAACGAAAGCAGCTAGCATACTTCCATGCAAACATTGCCTCGTGTCCGACTGAACACTCGGTTCATTGTGAATACGCTGGTGCCTGCCTCTGTGTGTAACAGCACCGTTTTGTGTATCGGCGACGAGAGCAACGACGACGGCAACGGCAACACGATTTGTATGCCGTGTTGTTTATTTTGAGTGTGAGCCGCTTTACGATGTTTTCATTGGTCGGGTAGAACTGTTGAAAGCGTTTTGTCTGCAGCGTTTGATTTTATCCATAGAAAATGCTACGTGAAAGAGAAGAGAATGTGAAATTGTGCGGTTGTAGGAGTGTTGCTCAAAAGCTTCGAATCATACGGATATTGGAGGGGAAACTTTCTGCTCATTTTGTTGTAGAATGGTCCGGAATGAGGAAACAGTGATTGTAGTTCAGTGAAACATGAGCGTGGCTTTGAAAATGCCCGCACTAAAACAATACAATAAATGGTTACGTTGAGATATTTGAACATCTTTATTTGAAAATGTTATTGCTTTAGCCTCTTAGCAAATGTGTCTCATTTGGCACACATTGGAAATCCTTGAATATAAGCGAAATGTGTAATTTATATGCACTCAGTTCTCTCATCAATTGATTCGGCTACACATAAATATCGACCATACCAAATTGCCTCGATATTCAGATAGACAAACGGAGAGATGGACAGAAAAAAGTGTATGCAAATTTTATGTACTTATCAATTTGGTCTGTGAGCGCATCCATCAATCCAAAATCGGCACATGTGTGTAAATTATATGTGTATCACAATTTACCACATTCTATCTTTACCATTTCCATGTTTGCGTTATTGGCCGGAAAATGTTTAAATTTACTATCTGCTCGATTTCACGAACTGAGATGCCCTTTGCCTGCTGCATTAGTTAATTTTTTTTCTCAAACAATAAAGAGACAGCTACTAGTATGTTCTGCTCATTCGATGCGATTTTAATATATGCAATCAACTACTTGTATTCCAATAGCTGTTTATAGGTTTACCTAACTTTACTTTGGCCGGTGGATTTTTATTCATCGATTCATCTGATGAAATCAAAGTAGCGCAAGCGACCGATTGTTACTAATAGCGCCATCTAGATTTCTACTATACAGTGTACCAAACTACGTGAAACGTGTATAATTTATTGTTGTAACAAACAAAGTAAACTTCAAATGAAGTCACGAAGTGTACCTGTTGCGATGGTCTGGATGTACACTACTGTGCAAAAGTTTGGAACCACTAGGTATTTTTCATACAAATTGACCATTTTCGGTAGACTCATTAACATATTTCGGAAACACCTGCACTCTTGATATTTTGTGCATAGTTTCTACAACGTTTCAATAGTAAATCGCAGAGGTTTCATCAAAAAATATTCACGTATTTAAAAAATATATCAATTTGAATTTGATCTGTTTTAATCTTCATCCAAATTTGATCATTTCTCACACAGTACAAATTCAAATTGCTATATTTTTGAAATTCATGAATATTTTTTGATGAAACCTCTGTGATTTAGTATTGAAACGTTGTAGAAACTATGCACAAAATATCAAGAGTGCAGGTGTTTCCGAAATATGTTAATGAGTCCACCAAAAATGGTCAATTTGTATGAAAAATACCTAGTGGTTCCAAACTTTTGCACGGTAGTGTAATTGTCAGTGCAAAGCAAAAAAAAAAACAGAAAATGCATGTCCAGTTCTTCCTATTTGTAATCGATTTCATATTTATCATCATTATCAAATCAATTTATTAAACGGATATATAATGAGACTGATCGCACTGTTGAGAATCGCCAACCCAGGGGCAAAGTCATTGGAAATTGATCGATAAATTATTTATTAGCGATAAACGATAAGATAGCAAAAATGTGGCAGCAAATTCCAATCGGTGGCAAATCAAAAACGAGATCGATTATATAGAGGATGCACTTCATCAATAAATTACTCCTTCAAACTGAATATTTTATAGTTGAAGAAGACAAGAATAATGGAGGTCGTTTACGCACAGCGTTACGAATAAAAGCATTGAGATACAAACCTACGAATCACGTTTTCAATGCTCCCTTGTTTCGGCTGAACATCGTGAATTATTGACTCTTGTATTCAAGTTATTTTTTTCTGTCTCTTTTGCTATCGTCATTCTGATGGGACAATTATTTTAAATGACAATTATAGGCTCATATTGGACCCCAATGATTTGTGTAGTAAGAACGGATGACTGAGGCGGCAGAAAACGGCAACAAAATAGAATTTTGGATTGTGGTAAATGGTTCATATTTGCAGATCTCAATTCAAATATGAGCCGGACACAACCATCGCAAACCTCGGACTGATGATATCCTATTGCCGAGCACATTTCGAAAATTGAACGAAGCGGGAAAAAGCCAGTCGTTGCGAAAATCGTTTCCGAGTTGGATCGATGGTGTCAACGTGTGAGTGTATCCTCACTGCAGCAGTTGATTCTATAGTCAAACGTAGTTTGAGTTTGTTTGCCACCGCATTAACATTAAATGCTGCTTCATTTTCCATGTAATTATCTGTAGAGTGAACAGTGTACACACTGTACATAGAGGAAGAGAGATAAAGAGTGACAGGCACTCCTCATATAGTGGAAACGAGAGGTAAACGAGCGAAAGAGTGAGGAATATTCTATTTGGCCGTGTTTATTGAACTTGGTAACTTATTTATGGATGACTATATTGAGCGGCTCTTTGCCATCTGTATACACTTTTTTGGTTTTATTCACACACCAGATCTTCTGAGTTTATTTATGCGCCTGTGTGTGTGTGTGTCGCCCGTGCATGCCTGAATTGGTGTCGCGTTGGATTTGTGATGTCAAAGTATCGGTTGATTGCATGTGAAAATGATTGGATAATAAATGCATCGTTGCGTCACAAAGCTAAAGCGGAATCAATAACACACAGATAGATACGAACAAAAAATAAATGTGGTAGCAGTTTCATGTGATCATAGACGAAACAGAAAAGAATGTGATTGAGCACAGAGGCGTGCTGCATAATATGCTGACCGATGATGGAAATCGATTTCAGTCCCGCGTCCATTGGGAATCAAAAGATAATTAAAATACATTTTTCATATGCAAATTGAGTCATTTGAAGTGTCTGCGTGTGTGTGCATGTTTTTGGCTGAACATTTGTTTGGTGACACTTTATCTCGTTTATTTTTTAATTGCTTCTTCACCACTTATTTCATTCAAAAACACTGGTTTTGTTTACTGTTCTCTTCACATTGTGTTCGCTGTCGTGTATTTTGCAATGTAGGGCTAAGGGATTAAGACTAGTTTGGTCTTCGAATTTGATTCTTTTAAGCGCGACTTCCCCATTAATATTCAAATGCCTAAGTAAAAAATACTTAGAGAGTGCTCATGTGCGCAGTTTGTGACTGTACAAATAAACACTACCACACACCGAAAAGTTTACAAGTTTTTTTAGTATTTGCAAAGCGATTATTTTACTTGGCGCAAGTAATTTTACTGTTGACAGCCAACTTCCAATTCAAAACGTTAAATTATCTTAGAGATAAACATATAGTAAGTTTTTGCATGTTTTTTCTCTTGTCATTGCCATTTGCATTAGCGGCAAAAAAACTCTGGTCGAATTGTACAAATGTTGGCCCATTTTGTCTGCACATTATATCAGCCATGCGACTGCTCCAGAACTAGGACAGTAAACTGGCTACAAATATGCATACGAATACAAACCGTATCATGTATATATATATATATATATTACTCTATCTTTCGACAACATAGACTGTGATTTTCCATCGCTATTGCTAGCACTGCTTTTGGGTGGAAAGAATGAGACGAAAATGGCAAACGAGACAATTTTCAATGTAAATGTGAATGCGAGTTATGTTTGTGCGAATAACCATGCGAATGTGGTATTTCTGTTCATTTCATCAGCAAGTGGCGACACGGTGTCTACATCTGCTTCAGTTTTATTGGCAGATTCTCTCACTCTATATATGTCAGCCATTCGAGTGCTAGTAGCCGCAGTTGACTATGACTATTCGTCTATTTTTCAGCGTTGGCTCAACGACTCCTGTTTATGATTATGTTGATGTTCTGCCAGTTCGCAAACTTTTTTTCTGTGTCTTTGTTCTTTCTTCTTTGCTGAATTCTTCCGTTGGCCTTAAAAAGAACTGAATCGTGATATCGCATCCACCATGTATCCGAATGCATCCAATTTTTCGTTCAAGCAACGTTTTTTTTTGTAATGCTCCAAGTGTATATTTTTTTTAAACGACAAATTATATGAATACTGGATAGTGCTGCTATACACTGTACACACAAAAAACGAACAACAAAACCAAATCCATTTTATGGATGTGATGCGTGCACAACGACATAAGTGCATACAGTTTTATTGCATTTCGTCTGGAAGTCAACGGAGAAAAATAGCCAAATTTCATGTCGTTGTTTCAGAAGTCCGATTTTACCAATGAATGCAGTAACATTTAATCTTTTGGATCAGACAGTCTCTGTCTCTGCCAGAGAATTGTTTGTTTGTTTCTATTTTTTCATGTCATTTATTTCTGGCTCTCAGCATCATTTTGAACCGACGAAAAAATTGTTCAACACCAACGAATATTTAGAAATGGAATAAATACACTGTTTTCGGACTGTGAAGTTCAGCACATTCAATTTATGTCAATCTTCATTTGATTTAGTCTATTAAAATGATCATCTCCAAGTCGAAATGCTTGAGGCATATGTCAAGGCTTCGGCAGTTTAATGGAATTCATTAACCATTTGATTTTGTGAGCTCCCTTTCTCAAATAAACAACTCTATTATCAATGCACAAACAAAATTATGCTTTAATCTAATTTAATCAATTTTTGTATTTGACGCACACCACACTCACACATATTAATCAATCAGAGTTCATTGGAATGATTTTAAGTCATTGTTCGTCACTTTATTACCG